GACTTTGAGCATCCACTGCGTCTGATCCGAGGGGTATTTCGTCCTCCCTCAACAGGCAATTGGTCTTTGGACCTTGCTTTAGGATGCCTTTGTTACGGAGTGCGATTATCTGCCTTAGTTTGAGAGCAGTACTGCCGCAAAGTTGATCAAAACGGTCACAAATGCATAGTCATCAGGGTTCCACCTGCCGCCTTACTGCGGTCTCAGCGGTATCAATCTCTTTTTCCTCTTTGAGGACTTCCATGGCCCTTATAATATCTGGAAGAGATGATTCGTTTTAGAAAAGATAATAAAAAACAACTTATAACAAAGATGGAAAATGCAGAAGGTCAATCATTACTCACCTGACATTCTCTCAAATAAAGCAGGATCAATAACTCTGATACCAGTGTCAGATGTTGACTTTAGACTCCTGACTTAATAAGGCGCCGACGGGTGGGACCGACGGGCCCCGCTGCCAGGATTTTGTATTTTCTATGTAAATAGAAAACTCTGAATCGTTTGTTTACTATACTATGAAAACCACTGAATCAATTGGTTACACAGAAATTTGGCTGAAGTGGGCTGTGTGCAGGAGGAGTATTGCCGACAGATAGAAAAAGTTTTATAACCCCACTAGAGTTACTGGGAAAATCATGAAAAATTATTATCATTTACATTCCATACACAGAAGACTTCTTTTCATGAAGTTTTTTTACCTTTTGAAAAGGAGGTGGACGTTTCTGTAGGGAAATGTATCAGAGGACCCTCTCATAGCGCTTCACATGTCATAGAAAAATTATTTATTATTTACTTAAACAAAACAATAACTGCACATTGTACGTGCCACAAGTATGTCTGAGCCATGCTACTCTGAGGGCGAAAACTGAAATCCATTGACTGGAAACTTTGCAAAATTGAACAATATGTGCACACTGCTAAATGATAATCATAACTGCAAATGGCATGACCACCACAGTGTCCCGCATGTTTTAGCCGGACTACTGTGGCAGCCGTGGCGCCTTCTTCTGCCCCTATTTAACACTCATGTGCTTCTTAAACAAATTAAATACTGAAGTACTTTCTCATAACTTTCAGCGAATGATACAGGATTGTATGCAAAAATGTTTGCATTTAAGTTGACGTAGCTAAAAATCATGACTTGCTTAATTCACATGTGATTTAAGAAAAATTATAGGTTTTGAATATCTGTTAAGACATGCCCCTTCTTAGATTTATCTCACTGTTGTTAATTAACAATATCTTTTATCATTGGTTCCAAGTTACGAAATTAAGATATGTATTCATGACTAGATTTATTTGTTAATTTGTACAGGAGTTCATTGTACTTCAAGAGCTCTAACCCATGCAAACAATTTTTTGTAAATGAAATACTGACTTTTGGTGAAATGTTGAGATAACGGCGCAGAATATCATGGGCACCAAAATCCAAAGCTTGGGTGTTGTCCACAACAGCTGCATTCGTAAGAATCACTAGACTACCCAGCCGAGAATGAAAGTTCGATATGATGTCGATTCGATGTCGATACCATCGAGAATCTGGCGATGTCGATGGGGACATCGAAAATTGATTAATTTCGAGAGAGTCGAAAATGTGCATTTAGCCATCTGTAAACGACCTGGGATCATAGGCCACCGAGTTTTGACCTATTTTTCAGCAACAGATGTGACAGACCCTACACATAATGCCAGTTAACCAGGGACCGATTATTAGACGTTATTCTTCATCAATGGTCAACAGGTCATGTCAAGGGAGGCATAGGGGACGTGGGCGTGGGACGGGAGGCGTGGGACAGGGCTACACGTGTTTCATTGCGATGAGATTTCCTATAAAGCGCCCCAAAACAGCCAGGAGAAGCCAGCAAAGAGAGTGACATCGCATTCAAACAGTCACATTCTAACACAAATCACAGCCCCAGACGCAACGACACCTAACCTTAAACTTGCACGGATTGCTACCACTGAAACACACAAGTGCACTGTGGAAGGTGCCAAAAGGGGTGCCAGAGGGGCGATACACTAGGCAGGGACTTACTTGTTGTGGCTGAGCTGGACCTGGCAAGAAGGCAAGGCAAGACAAGAGTGAAATCTAAATTTCATGATCTTACCTGCAAAGGTCGGTCCATGGCTGTGAACGCTTTCTAGATTATCCAGGGTTTGAAGAGGAGTGGAGCTTTTGTTCTTCCTCCCCGCCGCGCAATCAGCTGTCGGCGTCAGCTGTTTATGACGTCTTCTGCTTCTGTTATTGTTTTGTAGCAGACCTGCAGTCTTTTCGTTTCCCCGGATAAATAATAGGCATTCCTTGAAATGCTTCCTTACAAATTCCCATGTTTAAGACCACAGACGTGTTGCGGCAGGATGCGGCCACTGGTGCTCCTGCTTTCAGATGCAAATGACGAGTTAAGTTCACAGTGTTAACCTCCAACCGACATGACTGCCTCAGTAATTGGGTATTTTGCGTTTGATGACTCGCTCATGACAAATAAGTAGCATGGGATCGGCGCTGTAAATATTATTTTAGTGTCATGTATTTTTGGTGTCCTCATTTGTTTGGTTTTATGTTTTGGTGTTGTGACAGATGTTTTTGGGAAGCTAGTTGACATAGAGGCACCATATTCCATATGAATCTGAACGCGGCTATTTTCTACAGTGAGTACCTTTCTGCTTGTGTCCATATACATAAGGATATTATGTGCAATGTGCCACGCCGTTACTTTCCTTTGCAGGGCAGAAAGTAAAGGGCCCCTTTTTTTGGCCCCCCCTTTCTATTCAAAAAATAGGGGGGGGCCTATGCTTTTGCCTTTGTGTCTGTTTTGTTGTTGTTTTGTTGTTGTTTTTGTTGGCGTCTGTGTACAAGGAAGGAGTTGAGTAGAGTAACCAGATTTGGAGGGTACTTCAGGAGTACCGTCCAAACAAATAATCCGGTGGTGCAAATCCCGTCCGGGTCGCACAAGGGCTGCTGCAGGTGCATCAGGGTTTTACATGAGCGGGGGGGGGATTTCCGCCTTATTGGTGCTAGCAGGGCAAATAGGGGTATTTTGGAATCGGGCGACGAGACAAGATGAATGGACCTGGTCCCGACCCCATCGGCCGCTTTTACAAGTTGGCCAGATCAGGATCTTAAAAAAAGGGGGGTCGCCGACAAAAAAAATTTATTGCAGATTTCGATTGGTCTCAGCAAGACCTTTTCAACGGGGGGTCGGAAAGGGGGTCCAGGAGCCCGACTTCGTCTATTAGTCACATCAGGATCTTGAAAAAAGGGGGTCGACCGACTGAAATTTTTACTTAAGTTTTCGATAGGTCTTGGCAAGACCTCTTCAACGAGGTGGGAAAGGGGGGGTCCAGGAGCCCGCCTTCATGAGTTAGGAAAAAGTGCGACGGACTCGTTTTGCGCTCCTGCTGTCCCTTTATTGCAAGGAGTTGCAGTAGCATGGCAAATAGGGGTATTTTCGGAATGAGGGCGAAGAGACAAATGAAATGGGCATATTCTAAGGACATTTGGGGTAAAAAGTGAAAGGGGCTATTGCATATTGTGAATAGAAGGGCGGGCCTAAGTCACGATGGTACATCGATAACTTTGCTTTACCCGCTCACGGTGTGTGTGATGCAAGCGGGCCGAAGGCCCGGGCCTTCGACTGGCCAAGTTGGGTCTGATGCGAGGGCCGAAGGCCCGAGAAAAGGCCGCCGGCAGGCCAAGCTGGGCCGGCCCCCTGTCGAACCAAGTTGCCGGCGCAGCGAAGCGGAGCTGGCAACTCGGTTCGACGGAAGGGCGGGCCCTAGCTTGTTGGCAACGGGCAGAGTACAGCTATTGTTCTTCGTGGCCATTTCCTCTACAATCCAAACCCCTCCGTCAGGGAACATGTGGCCAGTGACAGCAGTCAATCAACTTATTCTTCAGACTACGAGGATGAAGATTACACTCACAAGTATCCACAAAAGTGGAGAGCACTCGACTGACGCATTTATTTTGGTTTGTAGGTGCGGATTTCACACATGGAGTAAGCACACTTGTGAATTAATTCATTTATTAATTAATTTTAAACTTAGCCTCATTGCGAGCAGATGGTTTTGTCTTCAGTTGGTTTAATTTCTTTAATGCAGTAACAGCCCATTAGCCCAAATACCATTCTTCTCTCCTCATAATTTAATTGTAGCTCAGTTCCTTTCATGTCCTTAATTTTTTTCTCAGCCATCGAGTAGTTTTTGTACACAATATGCTTGTGCAAAGGGGAACATGGGTATAATGTGATAAGCAACTTATTTTTATACCTTTATTGTGAACCACTTTGAAGTATTGTAAACTATTGTGAACTTTTGGAGAAAGTAATTGAATAAATAAATGACGAGACTAGCTACAATCAATTGTGTTGTTAATAAATTATGATGAAAAATCACATTACATTTGACGACACCTCTGCATCCTTTCTTCTCTGGATTCTGTAGACAGTTTGGGTGGAGGCACCTCTGGCGCCTCGGGTTCTGCATCTACTTGTTTGTCTGGGCTGCGCCAGCCCGGATCCCACCAATGTGGTGGAGTGATGGGGCGGTCTGGGTCAGGGACAGGGCTTTGGTACTTCTTCCTTGTTTCCTTGTACCCCATTGCATTCAAAGCCTTGTCAACCTCTGCATTCGAGACCCAGACACCGCTGGGGATTTTCAGTAAGTGAGCAGCCTTTTTCCTCATCCTACGCTCCTCCCTGGTGGAAAGAGGTGCCCTTGTTACGCTTTGCAGAAATAGCAAACGTATTTCAATGTGATGCACAACTGCAACTCTCTTACCTCTTCACGATGGCTGGATCAATTTCCTCGACCTTTGGAGTCGGTTGTGGAAGGGCCTTCCTCTTGGGCAGGGGTGCGAATTGGAATCCACCTGGCTCGTCCTCTTGCAGCTCTTGTTCTGCACGAGATCGTTTAACATCCAAGGGTCTCCTGCAAATATATTAAAGTTAATAGACACAAGGGAATAAGTGCAACAAACAGCAGTAAAATGTAAAAGTTATCCAAAACGGAGTCATTATAGACACGCAGCGTTTAAATAATAAAAATGGGTCTTATATGCACGCAGCGTGTATATAATATATATACATCTTATTTTCACGCAGCGTGTCTCCCAAGGGCCCCGTTTTATTATTTACACGCAGGAAAGGTTTTGCTGCGTGCAAATAATATTTTGGCTTTTATTTAAACGCTGCGTGTCTCCAAGACACCAAAAAATTATTGGCACGCAGGATTGTGAAAAGTCTTCCGACCGGCGACTGAGTCCAGCAAGGCGGCTTGGTGGATGAGTGGGTCCGTGCTTGTACGGGAATTTTTTGGCCCCGGGGTTTGAGACTTCGTCTTTTTCCAAAAAAATTCTGCGTGTCACTAATGAAAACCGGTGTTGTTTCATTCAACGCTGCGTGTTTATAATAAATTCACATGTAAATTTTCACGCAGCGTGTCTGCAAGACCCAGTTTTATTATTTACACGCAGAAATTTTTTGAGAAAAAGGCGAAGTCTCGAACCCGGGCCAAAAAATTCCCGTACAAGCACGGACCCACTCATCCATCAAGCCGCCATGCCGGACTCAGTCGCCGGTCGGAAGACTTTTTACAATTCTGCGTGCCAATTATTTTTTTGGGGTCTTGGAGACACGCAGCGTTTAAATAAAAGCCAAAATATTATTTGCACGCAGCAAAACTTTTCCTGCGTGTAAATAATAAAACTGGAATTGCAGACACGCTGCGTGTAAATAACATGTGAATTTATTATAAACACGCAGCGTTGAAAGAACACCGGTTTTCATTATTGACACGCAGAAATTTTTTGAGAAGAAGGCGAGTCTCGAACCCGGGCCAAAAAATTCCCGTGCAAGCACGGACCCACTCACCCACCAAGCCGCCGTGCCGGACTCAGTCGCCGGTCGGAAGACTTTTTACAATCCTGCGTGCCAATAATTTTTTTGGGGCCTTGGAGACACGCAGCGTTTAAAAAAAAGCCAAAATATTTTTGCACGCAGGAAAATTTTGTCCCACATGGCCACCGTCGGTGGACGTCTGAGGGGAAAAATCCTCCGTGTCAATAATTTTTTTTCTATTATGTGCACGCTGCGTGTACATAAAGTCCAATTTTATTATTTAAACGCTGCGTGTATATAATATTAGTCCTTTAATGAGAGGTCCCTTGAGAATGTCAGGGAAACAGCAATAAGGCTCTCTCCAACCAAGCAAGGGTAACTTCAACTATGCAGTGCAGTGGAAAAGTTGTGAAAACAAGGAAGAAAGGTCCCTTCTGCACAGATGGAAAGAAAAATAAAACTAACGCAAGGATGGCTGGCATGCTGTCAAAACAAGTGTGGAGGACTCCACACTTCCAGGTGTGGACACTTTCAGTAATGATCCACACCTCGAGCACATGCATTTGAGACTGGCAAATGGGACATTCCACGTGAATCCAACGACGGTTTGGAATCGAGGTCCGCGGATTTCGACCTAAGTGGTATCAATCGATTCGGTATCGTCCCCTGACTCACCATGTAATTTTTTTTGAAAAAATTTTGAACGGTTTAGTTTTTGCACCAGTTTTATGGTTTTAAAAGTTTAAAAATAGTAAAAACAAAAAAAAATTTTCAAAATTTTTTTAGGTGTTCTTTAGGGTTTAGGAATGAGGGAAAAGCATTAAAAGTTGTTTGAGAACCGTCTGGGAGGTTTTAAGGGTAGTGAAAATGGTGAATTTTGGTGCAAATTTGACAAATTTCACCGTTCTGAAAATACGTCATCATGGATTTTGGCCAAACTCTTTTTTTCTTTTCCTCTACTATTGGTGCATACTTCCTTAAGGGGAGGTTCTGGTGAAAATCTTGCCATTTTCCAAATGGATCCTACAGTCATAATTTGTTTGGAATAAAAAATTTTTCTTTGGGGGAGACTAAAATTTGACTTTTGAAGGCACATGCCAGGCTGTAAACCCAGTCGAAGAGTTTTTTTAGCCTATTTTCGCTGTATCTTAAAAATCTCCCTTTCGCATACTATTTTGTCGTAAAAGGTTGACCTTGACATTTTTCACTTCTTCGACTCATTTTCAAAGGATTCCGGCATGCATAGCTCAAAACTTCCATTATATCATTAATTATTAGCTTTTTAAGCTGAAAAGTCCCTAAAATTTGTTTATTTTGTACATTTTTGATCAATTTTAGTGAAATGCTTGGTTAGAAAGCTTACGAATGAAAATGCAATTGACATTTTGAGATGGGCATGCCGGCATTTTTAAAAAAAGAACGAAGAAGTGAAAATTTTAAGCCAACCTTTTACGACAAAAAAGTATGCGCAAGAAGATTTTTTAAAGTTATAGCCTAAATGGGAGAAAAAGGCTCTGCGACTGGATTCAGGGCATAGAATGTGCCTCCCCAATGAAAAATTTCAATAAATACTTAATGAGACATCAAATTTTTAACAAATTTTCACAGTGGGACCTATTTAGGAGAAAATAGCATTTTCACCAGAACCTCCCCTTAAGAGGGTTTGGATGGCCCGCCACAATTTTTTCTTCTGGAGTCTATAACATGTCTAATTGCGGCATATTTTTCCCTTTAATTGACTGTTTTTTTGTCGTTTCCTCATGCGCCTAACTAACCTGAGACACGGAGTTTCGAACGGGACTTAATGTAGTACAGCCCATGTTTCAACTTGATTACTCTTTCCATTAAGAATTTCTGAATCTTGCCATCCTTAAATAGTGAGTTGTCATTAAACTTTTGTCCACTTCAAAACTCTATGTCTCAGGTTAGTCGAGATCTATGAGTGAAAATGTGCTCAAAATAAAATAAATTTGTTTAAAGTATCTACTACTAGTATCTACTACTTTAAACAAATTTATTTTATTTTGAGCACATTTTCAAAACCTCCCAGATGGTTCTCAAACAGCTTTTAATGCTTTTCCCTCATTCCTAAACCCCAAAGAACACCTAAAAAAAATTTTGAAAAAAAATTTTGTTTTTACTATTTTTAAACTTTTAAAACCATAAAACTGGTGCAAATACTAAACCGTTCAAAATTTTTTCAAAAAAATTTACATGGTGAGTCAGGGGCCGATACCGAATCGATTGATACCACTTAGGTCGAAATCCGACGACCTCGATTCCAAACCGTCGTTGGATTCACGTGGAATGTCCCAAATAGCACCTCGCGATTGTACTAACCGAATTTCTTCAGATTTGTGGTCGGTTTCCATGTCCGCAAAATGTTACCAGCAAAACACACAGCCACGCTTCACGACGCACAGCGTCCGTATTTTCCCGGGGGTTTTCCCGTCACGACTCCCCCTCCCCCTTCCCCCCTCCTCCTTAGCCACGCTGTGCAGCGACGTGCCGGCCAGACACCACGGCGCCACAGTGCCCAGGTGGAGGGGGACCTTAGTGGCCTAGCTAAACCTGTCGCCAGCCGTCATGCCGTAACGAGGGGATAGGGCCTGCGATGAATAGGCAGGTAGCCGGGGTCAGGTAGCCTCCGGCCTGACTAAGGATGTCGCCTTAGTCAGACCAGCCGCCCCCCTTTACCTTAGTCAGGCCACTAACTCCGACCTAACAGTGTGCAACAAGTTAGACAAACGTGTGACTTGCCCCTCGGTTAGGGAACTCCCCCGGTTTGGGAACTAGGTTGTTCAGCTCTTCCAGCGGCGACGGTGGGATAGTCCTGGGCAAGGCTCCGACGTTTAGTCTTTCCAGCACCACTACCGGCTCCTGGTTGGCCCTGCAATCTGGTCGTTGCGGAAACGAAAAATTAATAAAGATGACGGGTTGCCTAGGTCGCTCAGGTGACTTTCTTTTTAAACTTACCTCCCGAGCTGCTGCTGTCGCTTAGGGATGGCGAATTTCTTTTTTGCCTTCATTGGCTTCTTTTTTGCCTTTAGTTGCTGAAGACAAGAGATTTTCTTCTTTTTCCGCACAATCCCTTTTCTCTTGAGTCTCAGTAGCTTCTTCCTGACCGCCGGCATCGGAAGCTTACGCCCATCCTCAGCCCATTGATGCCACTGTTCGTTGCCATCGTTGCCGCCTGAAACTGTGGCGCGTGAGGGTGAGCAATTTAGTGAATGAACGGTTTGATGCGTTGGCACTAGGCAAACTTGCATGACACAATTCCTACAAAATTGGTAAAAAGAATCATGTTCTCACGCCATGTTCTGGTTTGACGGAGAGGATCGGGTTAAGAAATGGGGGAGCCGGGGGCACCACCGTCACTCGAAAAGGGAGGCCGATAATAAATTGTTGTGCTTCAGAGAAGCTAATTAAGTGGTGTTCGAATTATCACTCTGGTTTCACCTAACCTGCCCAGAATTCACGGAATAAATACGGGCAATCACAACACTGCAAATGCAAAGGCGATACTTAAGTACATTTTTCGGCGATACAATTGTGTATCGCCAATAAACGGCCTTACGGAAAAGTATTGCCTTCAGAACGGCATACAAAAAGTATCGCCAAAATTTTGGGGATACTTTGTGGATTGCCACAACCACGGCATTTACCTAAGAACTTGTCCCCTTGATTTGATCAACGTTTACTGCCAAATTGTGGCAATACTTCGAAGTATCGCCAAATTTTGGCGATACTTTTGTGTATCGTCGTTTTGAAGGCAATACTTTTCCGTAAGGTCGTTTATTGGCGATACTTGATTGTATCGCCAAAAAAGGTACCAAAAGTACTGCCATTGGATTTACAGTGAATCACAAAGAGGGGCAGAAATTGTTCCCATCTAGGGACCCCCACAGTGAGCATACGACTGCTTCCTTCTGAGCCCCTTGACCGGCATATGTACACTTCCTCTTCGAAGCTAATTGAGCGATGGGGGGAGGCGGTAGTTTACTAGGATGTCCAGGGCCCTTAACTGTCAAGAGAGATCAAAGATAACTTTGGTAATTATTTTTATTTTTTTCAGAATAAAAGGAAAAGGTAGTAGAAATGCTAACTCCAGATGTTGATCAACCGTGACCTCAACGGCTTTCCCCCACGCTAGCCACCTGGCAGCCGCTAGTCGGATGAGATTCTTGGGCATTTCCCCTTTGTTGATCGCGCCATACGGGTCTCTGTACTGTAGTTTCCGCAGAGGGCTGGACGCAAACCAGTTCCCTGGCAGTTCTTCGGCCGCTTTTGAAGCCTCTCCGTTGCAGATCGATCACTCCTACTTCTTGCAAAACCCTTTTCAGCTTTCTGGCCGCGCGCCGCGCCCGTTGACTCAAACACGACTTTATCGGGATTTCTCTGTACTCTCCTACGGTGGACTCTCCGAGGCAGGCCCTCCCTGCGATGGCAGGGCTCCCTTAATCGTTTTTTGGAGTGGGGGCCTTTGCCGCCGAGGGGACTTCCGTACCGCCCGTAGGCTTGCTGGCACACCGCTAACAGGAAAACGGTGGTCTCGCCGGGGTTTGTCACCGCGACGGTAACAAACTTAGTTGTTACTTCCTTCACACTTCGAAAACCGGTGTCCCTCCGAGCTCCGCAGGGTCCTGGAGTCCGAGGCCGCCGCGCTCCCTGGGCTGCACCATGACGTCGAACGTGACGCGGACGGGCTTGGTGGCCCAGGGGAACTTCCCCAGAGCCTTCCGGACCATGCCGCAGTACTTGGCAGGCAGCGGCGCGACGGCGGCGAGGTGCCAGAGCAGGGGCAGCACGTAGGTGTTGCAGTACTGCACGCGCTGCACCCGGTTGAGCGCGCGGAGCCTGGCGTCCACGAGCAGGGCGCGGAGCACACCGACGCGGGAGGCTGAGATATTGCACCATAAGTGCAATGCGACAGCCATACTGCACCTTACGTGCTGTGCGTCTCGAAAAGGCCCTATGCTGATGCATGGGAATCGGGAGGCATTGCACTTCATGTGCAATGCTTTTGCATTGCACCAACTGACGCTACAGTCATAGCATTTGGGTTCTCAGTGCTCAACGTACCTGGACGTTTTACGAGCGTACTCTTCTCGTGCCTTGCCGCGGTCCTTGTTCCTCGCTTCCTGCGCCTCTTCAGTGAACACCCCTACAGGGAGCGGGAACTCTGCCAAGATATCTGCTCCATGGATCAGCACTTTTGAGCAGTGATTGGGGCATGTAATAGCATGGGTACTCCCTCACGAACACTTCGGCCGTCTCATAGCAGTAGCGTTTGAATTCACACAAATTAAGCTTACGGCCACAACAGAGCACCTGCCAAAAAAAATCAAGTTAAAAAACGTAACATCAAGAATTGGAAAATACACCATTTTTAAAACAAAGCATTGAACACCTTAGATATAAGGCCAAGCCTGGATGTAAGATCAAGGCTAACACCGAGGGGTGGCCGACTCCAGAAATTTCTGTACGAGGAACATGTTCCGGACGGAACATGTTGGAACATGTTACAATTTTGGGAACATTTCAGAACATCTCGGAATAGAGGGAACATCGGAAACATCAGGAACATCGGGGAACATTTGGAATTATCTGGAAATATGTTGGAACATTTGGGAACATTCGGGAACATCAAGGAACATCAAGGAACATCTGTGAACATCTGAGAATATTAAGGGAACATCTCCAGAGTACCTCCATTGCTGTCGAATGCAATGCAAAGAATAGATTCTACTTGATATCGCTATCGAATTCTGTCTTCTAAGCCAAACTTGTGTCGAATAGTCTGACACTACTAAGCGTGAACTATTCGTCTCGCACTTGCAAGCTGGTATGGTTGTCCCTGGTACAAATGCTACGGGTCATACGCTTGCAAGTGTGAGTAGGAGACATCGGTGTCTCACACTTGCAAGCGTGAGACAAGCGTGAGTCACTCTGGTTGCATTTGACTCAACTGGGGAACCCAGAACTCGGTCTGAGGTCAAAAATGATGTCATTTTCGTCATCAGCGGACCCGAAAACATGTGAAACACTGTTAAATTCAAATTAAGATTATATTTTCACCGATTTTGACACCCCCGACTCGAACCTAGGTCTGCGGTAAAAAGAGATGTGATTTTCGTTATCAGACCTTTCACAGAACTTGTTAAATAAACTTAATGCTTTTGTCGTATTTGACCCCACCTAAAGTCGAACCTGGGTCCAAACTTCTTCGATTGACTCAAAATGGACCGGTTGACCTTGCCCTGTTTCCAAAAACACCCCTTTTTTGCTATTCTAGTTTTGTAAGGGGATCCTACTTTGCCCCGTAGACCATGACGGACCTGCAGCAGTGCCCCTGGGCCTCGGATCGAAAAAGCCGTCTCAGGGTATAGTTCATTTGGTCGTCCACACACACCAAATTTGGAGTAGATCGGACCGCGGCAATTCCCCCTTTTACGTACGTACGCGCACGCACGCACGCACGCGCACACACACACACACACACACACACCATGCACTCTCATTCCAAGTACGTGACATCACGTTGAAACGAACGTGACAAAATGTGGCATTGTCACATTCGTTTGAATTTTTGGCCGATTCACATCCAAACGAATGTGACTCAATGCTCAAACGAACGTGACATAGTTTCAACCGGATGTCTCGCACTACGAATGAGAGTGTGCATCCGACCATCCTGACACGGGACAGGCTAAAAAAGATGTAATAAACCAGAGGAACACAAGGAACACTTTGGAACATTAAGGAACATTTTGGAACATTAAGGAACATTTTGGAACATTAAGGAACATTTTGGAACATTTGGGAACATCGAGGAATACTGGGAACATGAGAACATTGGGAACATCAGGGAACATTTTTCGGAACATTTGACCGATGTACGAGGAACATCGAAGTCGGCCACCCCTCGGCTAACACCAGTTATTTCAGCAGAAATTACGGGCTTCTCGAAGAACCGCCGCGCAGTGTTTCCATCATTGTTGGTGGTACCATGACCTTGCTTGACAAAATCGACATGTAGTCCTGTAGAATTGAGACTCGCGCTGCTCGCTGGGGGCTCCGCCCCCAGACCCCCGCATGTGTGGGGCGCGTACCGAAGTATTTTTAGTAAGTCGTGGTGCCCAAAAGGGAAAAATTTCTTATGAAGTAACTGTACTGCTTTTTGGAAGGGTCTTTTTAACTGCTTTTGACCATTAATTTTTAAGGTACTATTATGCCCAAATAGATAGCTTGTATTGTATTGGCTACTGTGGCAGTCAACGGCATTCAAGGTCCGGAAAAAATTTAAGATGCTTTTACAAGAATAAGATCTGTGTCATTATGGTTTTGTGACCGAAGGCCAAACTAATGGGCCTCTTTTGGTCTTTCATTTCTGATTTCTACAGATTTCTCCGGCCAGGTTTAAGACGCAAT